GGCAGCCTACTAAATATTTGTGAGTCTCAAGTGTGTGTTGTATGAGGACGCTGGATTAAGTGATTTTGTAGGCCCATACAAGATTAAACCTTTCATAATTATAGAAACTACTTTCATAAAATAATGATTAGAATAGATGGGGTGGGTAAGAAGTGGAGAGAATAAATGTGCTTAAGAACAAGAGTTAAAAATTTCCTCTAAGTATAGGGGAGAAAGCACTAGCATTTGTCTCCCTCACTGAAAAACTAGTAAAAGAAACATTCTGGTTAACACTCTGATCCCCTTTAGCAATTATTTTCAAGATAAGATTTTCCTGCTCAAAGTTTTCTTCAGGGCAACTTTGACATCTTTATTCCTCAGGCTATAGATTAAGGGGTTGAACATGGGCACCACAGCAGTATAGAAAATTGAGGACACTTTCCCCTGATCAAGGGGTAAAATAGAAGGTGGTTTGAGGTACATAAAAGCTCCTGACCCAAAGAAAAGAGATACCACAGTTATATGGGAACTGCAAGTACTGAAGGCTTTGAATCTGCCCTCTATGGAGCTAATGTGGAGAATGCTAGAAAGGATGAAACCGTACGAGATAAAAATGGTAACAATGGGCACTCCAATGCCAATGGTCACAACAATAAAGACCACTAGCAAATTTATGTAAGAGCTGTTGCAGGAGAGCTCAAGGAGGGGAATGATGTCACACATATAGTGATTGACAAGGTTGTCTGCACAAAAGCTCATAAACATTATGTTTCCCATATGGGCCACAGCCCCAAAAACCCCCATCCCATAGACACCTGACAAAAGGAGCAAACACACCTGGGGAGACATGGTGACCACGTACAACAGTGGGTTACAGATGGCGACATAGCGGTCATATGCCATTGCTGACAGTTTATAGGATTCAGAAAAGAAAAAACAGAAGAAAAAAAATTGAGTCATACACCCTGCATAGGAGATGATGTTCTTCTTTAAAACAAAACTCATCAGCATTTTAGGGGTGAGAGTAGTGGAGTAACTAAAATCTATGAAGGACAAGTTGAAGAGGAAGAAGTACATGGGAATATGCAGGTGAGAGTTCAGCCCAATCAGGGTTATCAAGCCCAGGTTCCCCACCACGGTGACCACGTAGAAACCTAGAAACAGGAAGAAGAGGGGGACTTGGAGCTTGAGCTGGTCAGTTAAGCCTGAGAGGATAAACTCTGTCACAGAAGAGGAGTTCTCAGCAGCCATTCTCCTCTAGGAGGGTCTGCAAGGGAAAAAGAAAGAGTCACTGAAAGAGAAAGAGAGAGAGAGGCTATACACCATGAAAGTTAATGGAAGTTAAGGGGGTGGGAAGGAAAAGAAAAGAAAAAAAAAACATTTACTGAGCACTAACTATGGGATAAAAATTATTCTAAATACCACGGGGCATTACGACTCTCCCCCTTCTACAGAGGAGGACACTGGGCTAAGCAACTTGCACAAAGTCCCAAAGCTACCGAGTTGCAGCAGCAGGTGGACTCAGGTGGGCTGGCTTCCCTGGGTTGAGCTGTTAGCCTCTCTGCTGCAGCACCCAGTGGGGCAGGCGGGAACTCACCCCCTTCAGCTTGGAGCCACAGTGCTGTCTCTACTGCCTCTCATCCATCTCTTTCAGGGCCCTGCTGAAAAGGTGACAGACAGCTTGGAGCTCAGATCCCTCTGCTTCTGCTTCTACACCTTGAGAATCAAAATGTCTAGTTTAGTCTTGGTTCTCTTGCTGAGCTGAAAAATATGAACTCTGATTGTGGCTTTGCCTGGAGGCCACTGTCCTAGGGATGAGACAGCATCCTTTCCTAACACCACAGATAACAGGAGACTAAAGAGTTTTATTCAGGATTAGCAACCCCAGCGAGCTAGTTATAGAGGCTCCCGCAGGGCCACTGCCCAGACACCATCTTCCCTAAGGAAGAAGAAATGTTTGTTTATGCCCTTGATAATGCTTCATGTGACTTTTAATGATCTGTTCTTTCATTCATATTTTTAAGCATGATTAAGAGCAAAGCACTGTGAGAAAAAATATTTTGCTACCTTGTACTGAGCACTTACCGTGTACCAAACACTATATCTGACCCAGCACCCTCATAGGGATAGCAAGGGTCCAACAGCAATGTGCGAATGACTCCTGTATTACCTACAATAACCTCTATAAATTATCCCTGTTAATCTCCACATTAAAAGTGAGGAGCACACACAGCTAATAGATTCCAGAATCTTGAGTCACACCTTGGTCTGTCCAGCTTCAAAATTCATGGTCTTAATCACTGGCTACACTACCTCCCTGTAAGTGATAATAAGTTTTCTGAAGCAGCATTTTTACTTACAAGGATCTCATGAGATTCTTGATATTGATAAAAACAAGTAATTGTAAAGGATGGTAAAAAGTGTTAGAACTAGGAAAGGTCACGTTAGGGGGAATTGAACTTCAGAGGAGGAGATTCATTATTTCACTCACATCCAAAATACACCAAGAATGATTTGAACTTCTCCAGACTCAAAAATAAAGAAACCTTCTCTGATTTTCCTCCACTACCTGTTCATGCAGTTTAAGGTTGGTGATTTAAAACAAATACTTGCCATATTACTAATATCAACTTTTATCAGATCTGAAGGCCAGGGAATAGACCCTGCAGTCACTATGTCAGATAATAGGGAATTGAAGAAAGATGTGAACAAGAATGACATTCCTTCAGCAAATATATAATGAGCATCTACTATGCCCCAGAAACTCTTTTAAGTCCTGGTTATTATTCAGTGGGAAAAAAAACAAAATTCCTACTCACATGGAGTCTTCATTCAAGTGAAAGAAAGCAGGAAATACATAAAAGAAAGAGGGAAAACATGTAATGTGAAACGTGCTATGAAGAAAAGGAAAGCAAGGGCAGAAAAGGCAGAGGTACAGATTTCAATTTTTTCAAACATTTTCAATGTTTTTCAAACATTTCCGATGTTTGAGCAATGCTCAGAAGAGACTTTAAAAGTATTTGCTTGGTAAGATCAATGACTCCACTGAAACATTGGACATTCATGGCTTAATGCAGCACCCTTCCAAGGAATCACATTTTCATCCTGTACTTTAAATGCCATACCTTAAACCAAATTACTGGCTCTAAGGGAGAAAATTCTGACCATAGTAACAGGACAGAGGGGCAAGAGACCTTGCTGAGGATTTAGACAATCACAAATTACATAATGTAGGTTATTGACTGAGACTGAGATGATGACTCATAAAGCTTTGTGTAGCAACTTGCATTCTACACTCCTCACCAGGGATTTTTATATAT